TGGCGGGGGGGGGGCGGTGCAGGCGCCAGATACCGGGCCCCTGCACATGCAGCCCAGGGCAGGGAGCGGGGCCGGGGGGCACCGTGGGTCAGTCCCGTGACTGCTGGGCAAAGGCTGCCCCAGCCCGGCCCCCAGGAGCAAGGAGAGCGGAAGCTGCCTGGGACGGGTGGCGGAGCAGAGACCTGGGGCGCGGAGGGTCTCGGGCCAGGGTCTCTGAGCATGTGGGGGAGGCTCGGCTATGCCGAAGGGCAGCCAGCCAGCCAGGCCAGCCCCTCCGTGGAAGGGCTCCGGGCCTGCTCTCGGCCCCGGTGCCGAAAGCCCCACGCGCCCCCAGCTGCTGCTGGGTCTGCCACGGTGCGTTGGATCTGCTGCCGGCAGGCGGCCAGGCCGGAGCTCCTGGGAAGCTCTTGGGCCGCAGTTTTGCCCGCATGGAGTTGGCTTGGCCACGATTACTCACGCTCTAGTAAACCCCCATTTTAGGCTCTTTCCGTCCATTGTGCATCAAGCTGCCCTTAGCAATGGGTCAGAAGCTGCAGTTGGTCCAGAATAAGGGCGGCCAGATCCTTGCTGGGTATCTTGATTTATTCGCTGCCCGTCCTTTTCAGCCCGCCTGGTACGGAAGATTAAAACCATGCAAAGTAGGTGCCAGAAAACCGGAATGTATGGAATCCGTGAAAGCAGAGCTTCCCAATTAAAAAAATTACCCCTCGTGCCAACCACATCTTGATGGGCATCGGCCTGGGCTTTGCCTGCGGCAGCCGGTGGCTGCACAGCCTTTCAGGTCCCCAAATCGCTCCGGACGGAGAGCCGGCCTTGCCGAACTTGCCGCAAGAAGTCTCCCCGGCCCGCCTCCGGGTTCCCCTGCCACAGACCGGTCGTGAGGCGTACCCGCACCGTTGAAGACCTTTGCATTCACTTTGGGCTCTCAAATGACTCTTTGAACTGTTCTAGTGGTTGGTGCTATTTCCTTGTTCTTCCGTTTTAATGTTAAAAGTGTGTTGTGAGCGCTGCCTCCCACGGAACCCGGTGTGCCGGCCTTGGCGGTACTGATCGCCTGCTGCATCATTTATTCGGAGCGTTAACTCGCAGAAGTGCCGGCGGCTGCTTTCCGCCAGGGAGGCCCAGAGTGGCTGAGGCAGCACCAGGAGAACCGGGCCGCCCTGCCGGCCGACTTGCGATCTCAGGCGGCGGGACAGACACGGGAGTGCAGGGTCTTCGTGCGCGTGTACTTCCCAGGGCTGGTGGCGTGGCCTGCCTCCCCCTTCCGCCCGCTCAGCCTGCTGGACTTTGCAGAACCGGCGGCGCGGGGCAGCCAGCTTCCTGCCCGTGCCCAGCGTCCGTAGATCGGGGGCCCAGAGCCATCATGGCTAGTCCATGCTGGCAGATCGCCCTCCCCAAGGAGCCCCGAACAGGAGCCTGTGGGTTTGGACGGCCCTGGTCGCCGGTCCTGGCCGACTGCGCTTTGCGGCTCGGCAGCCGTTCCCCCGTTTGGGCCTTGGTCTTGTCTGTGGCGAGAAATGGCGGCGTCCTGAACCTCGGGCAAGGGGCCGTGGCGCGCACGGTGCGCATGTGCTCGCGCGGCCGCCTCTGCTGCCCATAAATTGCAGGCGCCCATTAAGGTCCCTGCAGCAGTCATTTAAAAAGCCAGGCGGATGCGTCCGCCGTCCATTTCTCCATTACATTAATGTTATGGGCTTTTTACAGGTGTCTTAAATAGACATCGTTATTAACGAGTCTATTAAGTCAATTAAAATCCAGTCCTTTGAGCTGGATTTAATGTAGCCACTGGGAGAGGGGAGAGGTGACGGCCGGGGTGGCTCTGGGTTTCTGCCGTGGCCTGGGGGCGCTCGAGCTTTTCCCCCCTGGAGGCAGGGAGCAAAACGCAGTGTCTTGCGGCCCAGGCGGGGGCTTTTAGCAAGCGCGGCCCCTTCCCTGGCAGACACCGGGCGGAAGCAGAGCCAAGCCCCTGTGGTCTCGGGACTCTGCACTTGGAGGGCCTGTCCTGCCCCTTTTTGCAAGGGTGAGAGGCCCCCCCCCCCCCCCCGGGGGCCCCCTGGGGGTCTTTGTCCCCCCCCCCCGGCAGAATCGGCGTTTTATGCAGCAGCACCCTGCCGGCCTAGCCCCCTCCCCACAGGAGCTGGACTGGCTCCCGGGCTCTCAGGGGGGCGAGAACAGCTCTGCTTTGCCCGGTCTTCAGTCTGGGATGCACCTCCTTGGGTTGAGAGGCTTCTCCGGTTTCATTAGCTGACTTTGTGCACACGATCTTTGAAACACCCCACGCTCTCACAAATTGTTCCCCTCCCTCAGTGGGCACGAGCGCAGGAGCAGGGTGTCCACGCCCCCCAGGTGTGGAGGGCAGACCGAGGGGCCCACCCCACGTTCCGCTCGGCGGCCCCCTGGCCCCCTTGGCCCGTCTTCTGGGGGGCCCAAGCCCCCAGTCGTGTCCCGTGTGCTGCTGCCTCTCAGCAGCTCAGCGGCGACTGTCGCCCCTTTTCCCAGCTCCCTTTCAGAGGCAGCCTTTTCAAACACCTAATTTATTCCATCTATTAGATAGATTTTGTAGATTTAATCATGTTCACAGTTGGTGGCTCATTGGATACTCAAGATAAACTCCAAATGAAAGTATAATGGGAACGACAAATGAGTTTTCACACCAGAAATAGCAGAAACTTGCTCAAGAAAGGAGTTTGAGAGGAGCAAAATACATATAATTTCTCTCCCCTCCTCTCCTTGGCGCTGCCTTTTGCTGACTACAGTAGGTTACCACAGTTAATTTCGCCAGTTTTGTTCATCTGTAAAATTGCATAAAAGTGACATTTTTTGTGCTCATTATAAGAAGTGCTGATTTATAGCTGGTAAATGGAATTTTTTTCCTTCTCTTTTTTTGGTGAAGCTCTCGTAGTGGCGTAAAGCACCCATGAAATTGCTTGTATAATGTAGTTTAAATCCAATCTCTGCGAGCCGAGCAAGTCCCCCCTCTTCCCTGAACCTGGTAAAGAGACATTTCCACTCTCCGCGGCGAGTTTACTTGGGCCGCTCGGAGGGCCGGCCTCACGACGGGGCTGCTGCGGACCGCCCTGGACGGCCCCCGGCCCGGCCCGGCGCTGCGGCTGGCTCAGAACCTCGGCCGCGCAGTGGCCTCCTGGCTGTGCCCAGTCACAGCATCCTCATCCTCATCCTCATCCGTGCAATTTCTCTTCCGCCCCGTGGCTGAACCTCTCAGGGTGGCTGACAGCCGTTGGCACCGACTGGACAGGTTTAAGGTTTCCATGCTGAAATGCAAACTCCTTAATAACGGGGGGCCGGGGCCAAGCCCTGGAGGGAGCACTGGACCAGTGCCACCTTGGCCAACCTGGGTCCTGGCTTGCCCTTCCACAGCCAGCCAGATCCCAGCGGGGGCTTCTCGGTGGTGGCGCCCACCCGCTGGGACCCTCCCAGCTCCGGCTCAGGAGGCAGAAGCGCCGTGTGCTCCAAAGACCTCTCGGGGGCCCTTGTTTGCACAACGTTGCCTTGCCCCGGAAAAGACGCTTGGCTTCGCCCTTTCCTGTTTGGCCTCGTCGTGATACTCGCAGTCCCTGAATATTTTATACTGTTTGCATCGTCTGTTACGTCTGCAGCCGCTTCGCGGTCCCACTGCATCATGCAATATGGAGGCATCATAAATGAGTTATAAACAAACGAACGTTGCGCGGCGAAGAGAGGGGCGCGTGGCCTTTATGATCTTCTGGGATCCGGTTCAGGAGAAGGAAAGTAGGTTTGGGTGTTTTAATGGATTTGACAAATGGGCGGAGCAGGAACGGCCTGGTGGATCCTGCATGCCAAGAAGCCGGCCGCATCGGCCTGCTGGTGGTGCAGGGGGAGGGTGGGTGCTGCCTGGCTTCCCGGAAGCACGGTCCTAGAATCTGTTGCAAAACGAATATTTGGCGCACCTAACCCGGTTTGCACGTCCCGGTGGCAAATCATGGGTGGATTAGCCCATGGCTTGCCGAGGTCGTGCCAGTGAGCTCTGTGGCCAATTGCAGCAGGTGGCCGGGGTCCCCAGCGGGCGAGCTCTCTGCCTCAGGTGGCTGCCTGCCTGGCGGCTGGAAGAGGCCTTCAGCTCCACCGTCCTGCACACAAAGGCTCCCAGGTCAGTGCAGGCTCTCCGACTTTGGGGCTGCAAAGAGAGCCGCTGCTGGATTGAGGCTGGCCCTCCATCGCTCAGTTCCGCCCGCTCCGAAACGAATCCATGTATCCCAGTCTGTTCTGAAGGCCCCTCTTGTTTCCAAAGGAAGTCCACCGAAATATAAGCCAAATTCGGGCACACTGAACAAAGGTGGGTGGCTATTTAGGCCGCTTGGGGGGCTTCGCGCACAAGACCCTCCGCTGGAAAGGTGCGGGGGAAAAAAGCTCCGTGCCTCAAGCTCAGGCCGACACGCCCCCTGCAGCATTCACTGGCCCTCCAGAGCGTGTGTGAGAAGGCTGAAGACCTGAGCGGCTTCGTTGGTCCTCCCTGCTGCAGCCTCACGGCTGGCCCAAAGGCCGAGCGAGCGGAGGACGCGTTAAGCGAGCTGTGCGTTTCTGTCCCATAGGCCTGCGGCGCCTTATCATGTGTGTTGCTCTTTCGTTCTGTTAGCTGTGCGGAGAACCCCCTAGCGGCCCCTACAGATGGTTAGAAGCATTACAACTGGGTTTGCTTATCTGTATGCACCAGTCCCTCTACATTGGGTAGGCACCATCCCAAGCGATTTCGACGGTGCGTTTACTGGACGGACTGAAAGTTGGGTTAGAGAGCACAGAAGGGGCAGCCGGGGACAGTTGCAAGCTGCCTTCAAAGGAGAACCCGGGGCAGCGCATGGAGGATTAAAGGCCTCCTCTGCCACACGGGGCACCGGCGTTTCGCCTTTGAAACGGCGCCGATCGTGTGGGTGGCGTCCACGCCGAGCTTAGTCGAGAAGAACGGGGGCGAGTCCCTCCCTCAGCCCCCTGCCCTGACCCTGCTGCTCTCTTTGCTCTTCCAGGTGAGACGATGCCCCCCGAGCACTCCCCGCGGTACCCCAGCCCGGCCGAGCTGGACGCCTACGCACAGAAGGTGGCCAACAGCCCCCTCTCCATCAAGATCTTCCCCACCAACATCCGGGTCCCGCAGCACAGGCACCTCAGCCGGACGGTGAACGGGTACGACACGACGGGCCAGCGCTACAGCCCCTACCCCGCGCACGCCGGCAGCTACCAGGGCCTGCTGGCCGTCGTGAAGGCCTCGGGCAAGGGCGGCGTGGTGAAGAGCGCCGAGGGCAAGCGGGCCAAGATGTCCCCGTCCCACGTGGCGGCCGCCCCTTACCCGCCGACGAGCACTTTAGCCCTGGGGCCCTCCTGCGCGGCCCAGCTGAGCTACCACGGCGCCCCGAAGCAGATGGAGGCCCCCGTGCCCGCCAGCCTCTCCGTGCCCGCCCCGGGGCTCCCGCACGCCGGCCGGGGCCTGGCGCTGGCCCAGCCCAACCTGCCCTCCATCCAGAACATCCTCTTCCAGCTCAATCAGCAGTGCCAGGCCCAGGCCGGCCCGGGGGGGCCGCCCAGCCCCGCCAAGCACGGCGCGGCCACCGGCTTCGCCGCCATGGCCACGGTGGGGGCCACGGTGGCCTACGCGGGCGCCGTGCTGCCCGAGTGCCGCAAGGGGGCCGAGCTGGTGGCGGGCGCCAACCTGGCCGCGGGGCTGGGGGGGCCCAAGCCCGGCCTCTACCCCGACGGCATGGACTACCTGCTCTGGCAGCAGAAGCAGCCGCCGCCGCAGCCGTTGCGGGCCTACAGCGCGGGCAGCGGGGGCGGCGGCGCCGTCAGCAAGTCGCCCGAGGCCTGCGCGGGGCTGCTGCGCGCCTTCCCCGGGGCGGGCACCGGCGACAAGGTGAGCTCGTCGCCCTTGAACTGCGCCGGCATGCACGGGAACTTCTCGGTGGGGCAGTACTTCGCGCCGCCCTGGAACAGCATCTTGGTCACCCCGAACAGCGACTGCTACAACCCGCCCGAGCTGGCCCACGGGCCCCGCGAGCCGGGCCCGCACCCCTCCGAGGGGCTGCCCAGCCTGCCCAGCAAGACCCTGTGCAACGCCTCGGTGCTCAGCAGCAGTCTGCAGTCGCTGGAGTACCTCATCAACGACATCCGCCCGCCCTGCATCAAGGAGCAGATGCTGGGCAAGGGCTACGAGACCGTCTCCGTGCCGCGGCTCCTGGACCACCAGCACGCCCACATCCGCCTGCCCGTCTACAGATAAGGGCGCCACCCCCCCCCGCACGGCCGGGGCGGGCCGGGGCACGGGGCGGCACCGGCGAGGGGCTCGGATCGCGTGGCGCCGGCGTGCCCCGGGCTGCCCGGCACGGGGGGCGCGCCTCTGCCGGCGCAGAAGTCTTGCTCTGGTTTCTGAGAATGTGAACGGGGAGGTGCTGCCCGGTGTTGCTGCTAACCCAGGGAGAGGCCTTGCGCCGCGAGCGAGCCGGAGCGGAGCTTGGTGGGCGCCGTGTGTGCCTGCCGCCCCGGCTGGAGGCGCCTGTGGGGCAGCCACCCCCTCCTGGGGGAGCCTCTGTCCGGCGTGGGGTTCCCCCGGGAGGCCAAGGCCCCGTGGCTGGGCTGGGGGATCTGGCCCCCGCCCGCGTGGATCCAGGTGGCTCGGCGGCGTGGCTTTCCCTGCTTTCTAGTTGAAGTCTGTAACTTGCACTGTCCTGATTTAAAGCTAATAATAGGGGAGAGGAGAGCGTGGAGGCTATTTAAGGAAGGAAAAGAAAACACTTGAAAACTTGAAGCAACTTTTTCGTTTTAGTTGAGCTCACTGTACATTTCTGTGTTTGGCTGCTACACAGTGGATTCCCTCTGCTTTGGCAGAGCCCCGGGTGATGGTTGCTTTTGGAATTAAAACCTTATGTTTTATTATTAATATTATTATTAATCATCATCATCATTATTTTAATGGCAATTTCATGGCCTCTGTGTGTGCGCGAGTGAGTGAGTGTGTGAGAGAAGGCTAGGTAATTTTGCTAGAGAAGTCTCTCCAAGCTGGCACCATTCAGATGTGCTGGACTAAGGTTCCTTTCGTCCACATCTGGCACGGCCAACAAAAGTGGCTGTCCAGCACGTCTGGGGGCGCCAGGTTGGGGCAAACGGAAAGGTCATCCTGGGAGGAGACCCGTTTCCCCCTCGCTTCGCCCTTCGGCCGCCCTCCACGGCCCCCACGGCCGTTCCCCACAGCAGCTGGCCGCAGGTGCCGAGCCTGAGAAGGCCGGTAGGTGGGCGGCCGGGAAGGGCGTCTGATTTACCTCTGAAACGTTACGAGCAGAAGACTTTGTTCTTTTTGGTTCTGTTCTTCAAGGAGCTAAAACCTGGACGGACCCGCGACCTCCCGGTCGGCCGAACGCAACCTCTCTCGCGTGCTTCCCCCCCGTGTGGCCAGTTGTTCTTGGAATTCAGCTTAGCCCAAATGCAAACTAGGTTGAACAGACGGGGCGGGGAGGAGGCGGGGGTTTCTGGGGTGCTGGTAGAGAGCGGGAGATGCGCCGGAGGGGGAGCGCTCAATCGCTGATCCGGCCGGTGGAAGCGGGCTGTGCCCATCACGCCTCGCCCCGCGGTGTGCAGGACGGTGCGGATCCTGAGACGAAGACGCGTGTCGTGCTCCGCTGTAGCTTTGCTCTGTTCTAGAGACGGTTTCCCGGTGAGGAACGCAGAACCCTCTTGAATGAGCCTGGTGTTTTCCAAGGGCCCCCCACCCATTTCAGGATGTAACGTTTTGCATACTTTAATTTTCTCTCTTAAAAAAGCTCTTGAAAACCATTTCTTTTGCTCTGCTATTCAGCCCATGCAATTATGCATTTAATAGATTTTATTCAAGGGATCTGCTTTGCAGGAATTACAGAATTCCCCCTCCCCACTCCTTGAAAAAGAGAGCGAGTGGGGAGCTGGCCCATCCATCCGAGTGATTGTGCTCAGATAAGAGAGGTACTGTGTCCTTACCCACCTGTTCCAGCACTAAGTGCATTTACAAGTCTCTGAGAATGTGTTTTTATATGAAAAAGCGACCATTATATTCTACTGTGAGAAGTGCACCCTGCACTATATTGTTTTAAAAATGAGAGAAAACAAAAAGATAGAAAAAAAACAGCAAACGGTGTCTCTGGATGTTGTCTTTCTTTTTTCTCTCCCTCTCTCCCCTTTCCCCACCTCACCAAAAAGAAATTAAACCTGGGCTTTCACTGGATGTCTGGTTCTGGAATTTGCTTGCACGGCTTCCTGGCCTCCGGGCGGGAGGGCCGCGCTGGGGGGCATCTCTGTCGGCACTGGGGCCTGGCGGAGCTGCCCCTCCCCTCGCTGGAGGAGCACTGGCACTCCGTGGGTCCCCCTGGTGCGCCGGAGGGCCCGGGGCGTGAGCCGGGGAGCCCTGGTTTGCTGGAAGACTCGGCAGGGTGCTGGGGTGGGGTGCTGTGCCCGCCGGTGCAGGAGCGCGCACGCCTCGTGGTCCCGGGGCCACAGCGCTGCTCGGTCAAGGCCCGGAAACGCACCCGGGCGTGCATGGAGACACGTTCCGGCAGTCCGGGGACCGAGCCGCGGATGCGGGGACGGCGGACGGGATGCTGCCTTGTCCAGCGAATGTTGGAATTACCACTTTGCTGTGCCGCCCAGCAGCCAACACTCTGGGTGGCTTACAAGATCACGGAGTCGACGGGCACGGAGAGCACGGGAATTGGCGGACTTCCGGAAGGCCGCGTTGCTTCTCCCTTTTGTCCCAGGCGGGGTGGCGTGTGTTTTTGTCCGGTGGCCTCCTGCCCGCACCGACGGCCCCACTTCGGCCGGCCTTCTGTGCTGGGCATCTGCGGAGAAGGTGCGTGGGTTCAGCAGCCGGGTTAAAAAGGGCTGTTTTCTGGATTGTCGCGCGGTGGCTGTCGCCCTGTGGTCGCGCTGAGGCTGCTCCTCGCGGCAAGTTGCCCGCGTGTGGATGCTTGTCTGGAAATGGGTGTTTTTGAGAGCGGGGTTGCCTTTTGGGGGCAGCGTTGCCTTTGTTTGCCGGCGTTGCTGGATGTTGGCACAAGGTGCCGTGTGCGGGTCCTCGCGGGAGCTTCGTGTCAGTTTCAATACTTGCTGCAAAACCGCCTTTCCGTGCCTGGCAGAATTTCCCCCGCGTTTTGGAAGCCCTCTAAAAGACAGGCCCCGTTAACCTTTCCTCTTCTCTGCTCTTTGTGCACTCTGCTTCCCTGCCCACAGCGGCACCAAGTTTGCCCATAATGAAAACTACAGTTCCCAGCATTCCCTGCCCCAGAAGAGCTCATATCGTAAAAGTCACAATGGTGTGTAAACGAGGGGGAACCATCTTCGCTGGCTTCTCTGCTTCTTGGTGTCTCTTGTTTTGAGGAAGGCCGTTTTTAAAGGGTAGCTGATTATTCCAGGCCAGGAGGGTTGGTGCTGGTGCAACATGGAGGGGAATCCCTGGGAGCGAGCGAGGAGCATCTCCTCCCGTAGCAAGTGATCAGCGGAACTCCTTTCTGCAGGAGCTTTGGAGGAAACGGAGGGGCTCTAGAAAAACCTTCAGGACGAAACAGAGTCCGGGACATTTCCCCATAAAGCTCGGCTGATACTGACATGGTGCGCGAGAAGCGGGGGTCTCTCTGACCGCCAAGCCCCCAGAGCTCGCCCCGCAGCTCCGCTTGGGGGCTGCTCCGTGCTCTGAATTCTCCACAGTTGCCGCTCTCCGCAAGCCTCAGTAAATCTTCTGGCCCTCCCTCCTTTCCGCAGGACAAAGAACCGGGCGTTTCCACCCTGCGCCCCGGTCCATTTTCTCCCCAAGGTGGGCTTATCCTCTGCCGTCAGCAGGGGGGCCGGGGGATTTATGCGTTTGTTTGCGGGGGCTCGCCGTGGCCCAGCGGCAGGCTTCCCTGGGCCGCCTCGGCTCGGCCAGGGTCTCTCGGCCGACAGCAGCTGCACGGCCGTTCCCAGGCAGCTGAGCCCCAGCGGGCGTTCTCCCCACGGTGACCCCATCAGCTGTGGGCAAGGCGGCGGCCCCCTGCCGCGAACAATGGGCCCTTTGCGTTGGGATAATAGCGCGGCGCGGAGCGGCTCCTGCCCGTGCCCCCACGCCTCCCGCGCCTCTGGGGCTTGGCGGCGTCCGGGGTCCGCTCTGCAGCACGGCCCTGCAGCCGGCCGAGCGAGGCGCTTGCAGGCGGGCGGCTGGGCACTCACTGGCAGGCGCACGGTGCTTCCCCCGCCGGGAAGGCGATGCCCTGCGCTCCCTGACCGCCTGTGCAAGAGGGCCGAGCGCATCCCGGCCAGCCCGCTGGGGGCGCTGCAGCGCCTGCGGATGCGCCACTGTTGCGCCCCCTCGCCGGCCCCGCGCCGAGAAGCCCGATCTCCCTGTCGTTCTTCTATCCTGGCTTTCCAAGGAGTCCTCGTGCGATAAACGCGCGCGCTGGCGGGAGAGGCGAGATTTCCGAGATGCGGTCGCGTCCCCCGTGTTGTCCGCGCACGAGCCGCCCCGCACCTCTTGAGCTCGGCCCTTCGAACAGGCGCGACGCGGGCGCCGGTCTGGCTGCTCGCACAGCGGTTGCGTCTGGCAAAATTACCTCCAGCACGCGCAACGGCCTGTCTTGAGATTTCATGCTCACTGGGGAGAGGAGGCGGAAGGAAGGCGCGAGCTCGAGGAAGGCCAGGCCTGGGGGTCCCTCTGCCGGCGGGAAGTTTGAAGAATCCCTCTGCTTCCCAGTTCCTTGGGCCTGGTGGGGCCGTCCTGCGCTGGCCCCCGTTTGCTCTTGAGCATCGCATCGTTGCTTCTTTTATCTATTACTTTGATTTCTGTATACCACCCCATTTTCTATCGGGATTGAAACAAACAGCAGGGGAAATGTCAAGGCAGAGCGAGCGTCTTAAATGTGGACACTGATCTGCGAAGGCCTCTTGGAAGGAAAACGTCTCTCTCCCCCTTTTCGAGGTGGCAGCTCCGGCGCATCTCTCTCGGCCCGCCGTTCCAGTTTAGGAGCAATGATGGAGAAGACACTCATCCTACAAAAGTCCTCCCTGTATTGCTCACCCGTTTCACTCTTGTGGGGGACCCCGAGGCAGCCTCCACGGCCTTTCTCCTCTCCGTTTCATGCTCACAACAACCCTGTGAAGTGGGCTGGGCTGAGCCGTGGTGACTGGTCCACAGTCACCAGGGGAGCTTGGCCTGGGGCCACCGGCCTGGCCTCCCGGTCCCATTTTGGCTCCTCAATCGCGGCATCACGTTGTCTCTCCAGTGAAACCCCTTGGAGAGTCTGCCCGACCAGGGCAGGGGCTTTGATGGCCGCCCTTCACCGTCTGGGCACGAACCAACGCCCTCCCAAGTGGCGGAGGCTGCTTCTCCCAAACCTCCCGCCCTCCATGTAGTGAAGATGTTCTAGTCTTGTTCACTAGTTCAATTTCTTTTTCACTAGCGCCCTTGCATTCTTCACGTCCATGAGGACTAGAACCTTTTTAAATGATGGAAGCCGGCGTTCTCGAGGTACCGTGTGCCGTGACCTTTCTGTGTTCGCGTGGCCTTGGAGACTTGCTCCTGAAAAACACTTCCCGCATCCGCACGCTGCTCTTCAGCCTTTCCAGCTCCGGCGCTCGCCTCCTTCCTGACTGAGCGATGCTCAGGCAGCCGAGAAGAGGGCTGGGTGTTCCTGGGGGGCCTTGGGGGAGCAGGGTGCCTGCGAGCGGGTGGGCCACTGGGAGAGGTGAGGAAGGGTCCTTCCACTGGGAATGGCGAGGCAGAGAGGCTGTCGGCTTCGGCTCCTGTAACTCCGGTCCCGTGTTTCTCCTGATATTTATGGCGTGCGGGGCGGGGGGGACCGTAACCACAATGACAGCCAATCAAGGGAACAAAGAGGGATTGGCACAAAAGGAGAAATTCAGCGCAGCGGCTGATGCTACTTCGAGCAAGGTGGGGGAAGGGGGGGAGCCGAAAGCCGCACGCGAGAGCTGCCTGCCTCGTGGCGCACTCAAATTAAATTGTCTGCAGGAAAAAATATTTGCTTAGATCTTGGTTAATAAAAAAATGCCATGGGGGAAAAGGGAAATGAATGCGAGAGCGTTTCATGCTGCCGAGGAACTGAGAACGCGGAGCTGAAGGGCCTCTCGCTGGAACCGCCACCTCGGAGGCGGCTCTTGGCCGGGCGACGAGAAGCCGCCCCCGGAGCTGCTGGCCTCGCTCGGGGTGCGGCGCCCGGGCCCTCCGCTGCGGGGCAGTGCCGGGCTCTCCGCGGGGCCCCGGCGCGACCTGCCGCCGGCGGGGGGCTCCGGGGCCTGGCCAGCTGCCGCCCCGCTTCCGAGCTGGGCCCCCCGCGTTCTCCAGGCGGCGGGAGCAGCTGCAGCGGCCTTTGGGGGCACCTGGAGCGAGCAGGCGCCCTTCAGGCGCAAGGCCGCAGCCCCCGCGGCGCAGCCGTCTTCCTGGCATCCTCGCCGGCACACGCGACCTCTGCACCTGCGCGAAGCCCACAGGTGTGAGGGCGCAGATGTCGCGCGGAGCCGCTGCGGCGAGGAGGCAGCCCGCCCTTCCCGGGCCGATGCGCCGCGGCCTCGTTTCCCTGAACCCGGCGGCTTTCCCAGGGCAGCCGGCAGCTGCCGGGTGGGTTGTTTGTGCCCCGCGCTGGCGATCGCACCCTCTTCCTAAGCGCATTACGCAGCAATCCTGTTAGCCGGACGCCCCGGCTCAGGCAGCCGAGTGCGTGGGCAGGAGCCGGCCTCTCCTCGCCTGGCCCCGAGCTCGGTGGCGAAGGTGGGGTCTTTGGCGCTGCAGTGTGCTTGATGGGGTTTTTCTGGGGGGGGGGAGGGTCCAGCAATGCCGCTGAGAACTGTGGACGCATGGGTGCAGAGGAGGGGAGGGTCTTGGCTTCCAGGCCCCCCCTAGCTGTGCTCTGGCCTCATTCTGCGCACAGAGGCGGGAGGCGACTCTGCCAGGCCCGGCCGGGCCGCTGGGCTCCGTGGCAAGCCCCCAAATCTTGTTACATGCATTAGGGAGCGGCTTTGCGGGCTCCTTTGAACTTGCCGGAGCGACTGCCCTATTTCCCGGGGCCGCGTGGAGGAGGGGCTGCCCCGTGCCGGCGTGAGGCCTCCCAGGCGTGGATTTCTACCCCGCTGGCCGCTGTGAGCCCTCGGGGGAAGAGCGACGTGGCCCCCTGGGACAGGTGTGGATGTCAGGGTTGCCACCCTCGTCCGTCTTTTCAGGGGGCAGGCAGGTTCTCCCATTTTGCACAGGGCCCAATCCAAGCTTGCCGGCGGTGGCTGGCGTGCCACCAGAGCCACGCCAATTCCCACCCGCTTTGGCGTCGAGTCGCCCACCAGAGCGCCACGCTCCGGCTCGAGCTCCAGCCACATTCCAGCCTTGCTCCCTGGCCAAGGGCCGGGATGGGGGAGGCCGGCCCGGCTGCTCCCTCGGCTGGCAGAGCTGCTGGCAGGAGCGGTGAGGCTGGGCGGCCGTGCTCCCGCCTGCGTGTCTAATGCAGCTCCCTTTGAAAGCTTGGAGCCGCTGTTTCATCTCGAGTTTCTTCCCGAGCTAATCCCCCTTTGAAGTGGGGAGCCGCCAACGGGAGCGTCGGGAGCCTCTGCCAGGGTGCAGCACCTCTCCAAAGGCACGTAAGTTTGCTGGCTGGGTTTTCAAAGTTCTCAGAGTTGGTCTGGAGATCATCAAAGAAACGTACTTTAATCGGAAGCGTACAAAATGGTATTTGCGTGGGAGGGAGCGGGGGGAGAAGCTTCCCACCTGGATGCACGTGGGAGGCACGGGAAAAGCCGCTCCGGGCGCAACCTGCGGGGCCGCCACCTCCCACGTGGCCTTCACAGCCTTGCTCCACAGCCTGCTGCTCTGGGAGCCGCAGGGACTGCCAGCAGCATCGGGCACCGAGGGTTGGGTCTGGGCCCCGGCTGGAGACCTGGCACCGCCAGCTGCTGGGTCCTGACGGGTTTGCCAAGAGCTGCCCGGGCACCCCTTCGACCCATGGCAGGAGCAGTGCCGGGCGCCAGCGGGGGCCCACGCTGCAGGTGGGCCGGTGGGGCGCAGCAGCTGCAGTCCTGCGTTGGCGGCGCTTTCCCCCTTGAACCGTGGGCGCCTTTGCTGAAACCGCTGCCGGCCGGCCCTGCTGGCTGCCAGGGCTGCGTCGGCGTCTCCGTGCCAAAGCCCAGGTGGGGCTTCCAACTCGGTTTCCCCCGAAGCCTGGCGGACGCCCGCAGTGGGACAGCCACCCGCGGATCGCGTGCCCAAGTCCCAGAAAGCGGCCTCCGCTTCCTCTTCCAAAGCATTTCTGGCAGTCTGTGGCCCAGAAGAGCGCGCGGGGGGGGGGGGGGGCTCCGAGTTTCCCGCCGCCTCCTCCTCGCCAGGCCAAGAGGCACACAGTTTAATGACATGTTGGAAGGGGTGGGGGGAATAATAGCATTTTTACCCTGCAGAACTGGCCTGATTAAAATACGGCAATAATGCGAATAATTTTGCAAGAAGGAGCACCTGATGGGGACATTAAACACCCAAGAGGAGGCAGCAACTGTAAAATTGCCTGGGCTGAAGAAAGATTTCCAAGCGGAGGAGAAGAACCCACTCCGCTCATCTCTCACTTTGATTGAGCGTTCGCTTCCAAAATTAACCTTCAAATTTATCTAAAAATAAATCCCCACCACCGAGCCACGTGCCGCCTCCCTCTGCCTCCATTTGGGGGCTGGAGGCACTGGCAGGCTTCTCTCCCCCCTCTGGCCACCCCAGAGCAGAGGAGCGCTCCCAGGGGGGCCCTTTCCTCAGTCTCTCCACGGGTGACAGCCTGACGGCCAGTTGCCCCCTTTTTGGAAGAATTGGGGGCTGCTGCAGCTCTGAGGCTTCCTGGAGCAAAGCCGGCCCCATCTGCCCCTGCACCCGGACGCCGGAAGTGCACTGGCACTGGCACTGGCACCCAGCTTGGGGCTTCCCAGGAGGAGCCGCCTGCCCCTCAAAAGGTTGACTTCTAAGGGCTTAGAGTGAGGACCGCTGTCTGGCCCACTGCCGGTTCTGCCGCCGTCGTGCTCGTCACTGTGGCACATGGGTTGGCGGAAGGAGTGTGGGCTTCAGAGTTTCACAGCACTGCTCAGGGGGCACAGGATTTGGCCCACGTCATCTGGCTGTCCTTGGCTTGCAGCCGCTTGCACCTGGCGGGGAGAGCAGCGTGCGCCCCGGGACCTAGCCGAGGCCCGGCGTCTTTGAAAGCAGGCCGCCGGCCTCTTCCGGGCGCCTCGGAGAGTGCGGCAGGAAAATCCTCATCAGTGTCAGGAGCAAGATTAATGCCGGAGCTGCAAAGATGTAATTTGGAGTTTTGCTCCAGTGTGCTGCAGACTAGTTAAGTGCTTACTGGGGGGAAAAACGGCTGCCTGAGAATATTTACTCTGTGATTTCACATCGCTCGCCGAGCTCGGGGCGGGCAGGCGGCTCCGACGCAGCCGATTTATGCTGCACTCCATCACGCCCGAGAGCCGTCGCAGCGCGATTGTGACCCCCGCACCATTGACTGACCCCCCCCCCCGGCGTGGGAGGCGCCCCCTCGCCTTCTCCCGGCCCCCCGCAGAGGCCTGCCCTGCGCCCACATCCCGAGGATGCCAGCCCGGCTGGGCGTGAGTGGGGCTGCCTCGGCGATGGAACCCGGGCCGGCCGGCGGCACTGGGGGTGCGTGGCCAGCGCAGCGCACCCGTGCCTCAGGAGCGCGACGGATCCTTGGGAAGCACGCTCCATCTGTTGAATGGGTGCCTGCTGCACCGCCCAGCAAGGGTGTCTGCCAGCCCCCATCTCCCGTGCCAGCACGGCTCCCTTCGTGGCAGGACCAGCTGGCGGTGGTGGCCCCACGGCTGGGCCGCCCTCCTGCTTCTGGCACATCCCGCTGTCCTGGCCGGGCCTCCTCACTCTTCCCTTCCGATTCCGCATTGTGTCGGCTTTTCCACATCCAGGCCAGGCCAGGCGGCCAGCTGGCGCCCCTCGGTTTTTATTACGAAATAAATAACTAGATTAAAACCCTGTGCAAAATAGAGTAGAAAAGGCAAGCAGGCCTCGGAGGAAGAGATGCACATGCCCACACAGCTCCGGCTGCCCCCTCGAATTCCCGAAAGCTGGAGCACGTGGGTGGGCAGGCGGCCACCCGGAAGGCCGTGGCTGTGTCCCGCTCCAGTGGCGTCTCCGGGGGCTGAGCACCGCGGCCCCCACACAGGCCCCCGTCCTACGCTGCTGCTGCGGCTGCGGGCCCGTGTCCTCGTGCAGAGCACCGTGCGGCTTCCGGCTCGCCTGCTCCCTCGAGCGAGGTGCGTCCGTGCGCTCGGCTGCCACCTGCCGGGGACCAGCGGGAGCCCTGCGAGCCCCTCCTGGGCAGCCGCTCGCTCGGCCCGGGCTAGATGTGGGAGTCGTCCCTCCTCCAGCCCTGGGGGTAGCTGGGCTTCTCCTTCGCCTGGGGCCCCCGCACGCTCTCCAGGGCCACCACCACCTCCTCGGGGTGCGCGTTCTTGTTGAGCTCCACCACCCGCGGCACCACCGTGGACCAGCGATCTGCCGGGACAGAGAGAGTGGGGGTCCGGTTGGCCACGGGCATGGGCCGAGGCCACCCCATGGCCCTCCTCGCGGCCCTGGGGACAAGCCCGGGCTGCCCTCTGCGGCCCTCGGCCCCTCCGCTTGCATCACGGTTCCATCGGCCTCCATCCGCTTGGCCAGTGGCCAGGAACGATGGGACTTGGCGTCCAGCAAGACTCAGGGGCCTGTGCTGCCCTGGTGTTGCTTTCTCAAAACAGACGCAGATGCTCTAAGTTTTTTTAAGCCCGGCTTTAACCGCTGAAATTTCCAGGAGGCGCCCAGCCCCGCGCTGCGTGACCGCGCCACCAGCTGAAGCCCGCCGGGCCCCGTCCCTCTGGGAGAGCCGGAGGGTGCCGGGCTGCCCCCCGTTCCCGCTCGCTGGCCAACTTTGCGACCGCAGTGCTTGCGCGGAGAGGGAGTCTCTATTGTACTCATCCCGAAGTTCACTGATACTTTTGTGAGTGCTGTGAGGCGTTCTGCCCTAAAAGGCGGTTGAAGTATTGTGGGTAAACAGAAGTGTGTATGAATCGGGAAGATGGCCAAGGGCCCCGGAGCAGCTGAGATTTCGGGAGAAGTTGGAGCACTGGACTCTTGCTGCGTCCACTGACTGCCCCGTGTGAATAATTGGCCGCAGAGAAGGGTGAGCACAACTGGCCAAAGTTCTGGGGGGGGAGGGGGCGATGGGGGTAAGCCTGGGAGATGCCCCTGGCCATCACCCCGCCCCACCCAAGGCCCCCTCCCCTTCTGCCCTCGGGGGGCATTCCCTGCGGGTCGTCCCACGGCTGGGGGAGGTCAGTGTGGGCACGTGGAAGAGCCCCACACGGGCCTGGGGGGTTCAGTGCTGGGGCTTGTGCTGCAACGGCCGCCCCACATTTGTGCGCTCCCACCGGGGGGGGGGGCACCCCCCCCCCCATGGCAGGCCACCCACCTCTGCGCAGCCGGCCCACGGTGTGGGAGAAGCCGTAGTCCTGGTAGGTGTCGCTCTTGCCGGGGTCTTCGTTGATGATGCCCAAGTTCTGGTTCCAGTGGGACCAGTTCACCTCGTCAACCCTGCAGGGGGAGGCTGGGCATGAGGCGGTGCCGGCCGTAAGGGAAAGCTGCCGGCCAGGCCAGGCATGCAGCCGGAGGGGCGGCCCCTGCCCCGGCTGTCTCCTTTGATTCCCGGCCGCTGCAAAGCCTCCGAGGCCGACGCCACCCCCGCAGGCTCAAGGGAAGGCTGCGTGTGGCGGGCCCAGGAAGGAAGGGACACTGGGACACAGAACACACCCACCTCAGGACGTCAAGTTTCTAGCCCCTAAGGTCATAAAAACAGTTGAAAGGGTGGGGGGGCAGTGTCTGCTGAATGTGTGGATCGTGGGAGCCTAGTGCCTGTGGGTGAGGAGGGTGAGCCGGCTGCCGGGCACTTTCTGTGCCGTTTCCCAGACAGACATTTTTACAGGGTGCCCGGTTCCCTCCACTCGGTGCAGACTGCCCGCGCAGAGACCAGGGTGCCGTTCCCCGGTGCAGCCAGCCCGGGCTCCAGGGTCTGACCCCACGGGAGCAGAGCGTTTCCCGAGTGCCCCCCCTCCCCAGCAGCGGTTCCCAGCCCTCACCTGAAGCACCACCGCCGGTCGGGGGTCCCGTCCAAGGCCTTCCCGACGGTGACCATCTCGCCCGAGCGGAAGGCCTTCCGGACGAACACGGGGAAGGCTCGCTCGATGTCCAGGATCGTGGTGGCCCACTGGGAGCGGGGGAGAGGGTCAGGGCCTCGGGCCTGTCCCGCCAGCCGGCCGTTCCCCCCCCCCCCCGCCCCCGGCCGCGGGGGGGTGAGCGAGCGGCAGTGAAGGAGTCCCTTCCTCCTCAGGCGCTCCGGAGCTGACAGCCCACGCGGCCTTCCGGCCAGCTTCGCAGGCGCTGCGGGAGCGATGCCGCCCCCGTCCCACTCGCGGTGCTGGATCGCGCCAGGGGCCGCCTCTGACTCCGCTTCCCAGCAGGTCGGGGCCGAGGCCCGCGGGACCCCCAGGACCCCCAGGCCCGGGCGCGCGAGCGCAGGAGGGGCTGCGGGGGCCGGGCCCCACCTGCAGCTTCCAGATCTGCTTGCTCTCCTTGGACACCTGGCCCACGGTCTCCCCCATGAGGGCGATCAGCATGTTGAGCAGCAGCACGAAGGTGAGGATGATGTAGGTGACGAGCAGGATGACGAAGACGCCGGGGTACTTGGCGCTCTCGATCATCTCCAGGTCGCCCATGCCGATGGTCAGCTTGAAGAGGTCCAGCAGGAAGGCGCTGAAGGTGCGGCTGTCCCGGCAGGACGGGTAGGCGGGCGCCGTGCAGTTGGCGCGGTCCTCGCCGCAGGCCTCCAGGCTGGGGCACGGGTTCAGCAGCGAGACCAGTGCTGCGGGCGACGGCGGAGGGGGCAGCTCTGCATGGGGGGCCTCTTTCAGGAGGCTCTGCCCCAAGGGGAGATCTCCGGGCGGCGTTGCGGCTAATGCCCCTGACCTACTCCAGCAGGGCGGCACCGCTGCCCATGTGCCACTCGGCCCAGGGCTGCCCGCCCCCGCTGGGCGTGGGGCGGTCCGGGGCAGAGCTGGCCGGCTCCTTGGCAGGCCTCCTGTGGTGGCAGCAGCAGCCGCGTGCCCAGCGAGGGCTTGGGTGCCAGAGAAGCCAGCCAGCGAGCGGAAGCGCGAGCCCCCCGAGTTGCTTCCCTTGGCAGGGAAGGTGGAGCCCGCCAACTAGGGCGACCCTGACGGCCGTCCTACCTGATGCGTAGCCGATCATGAAGAGCACGTAGACGAGCAGGAAGCGGAAGAGGTCTTTGAACAGGATCTGCGAAGAGGCATGTGCTCAGGAGGCGCCGTGCTGCAGAACCGGGCAGCCCGCGGGCAGCCGATGCTGGGGCTGCATCGGCCTCCCAGCAGGCTGTGCCGGGCCGAGTCCGGCCAACCACGGGCCGGTCCAGGATCTGGTCGCCAAAAGCCTCTGCAAGGCCGTGGCGCGCCCCACGCACAGCAAGCTCGCCCCGTTGGCTGGAGGGACTGCAGGAAGGAGCGGCCGGGGAGGCTGAGCCCAGGCTGGGTGAACTCCAGGACCTGCGGGGTCACGGGGCTACGACTCCCAGGAGCCCAGCCTGATGGGAATTGCGGCTCGGACAGCCGAGAGTGCCCTTCTGGAGAAGCAGGGTTGGCCGTCACCAGGCAAGACTTCCCTTCAGGCAATGTGACCGGGGGATGAGCGACCCCCCACCCTGCCCGGCCCCTCACCTTCTGGATCATGATGCTGTAGGTGCCGGTCAGCTTGAGTCCTCGCGTGAAGTAGAGCGCATTCATCCAGCCCAGGACGAGCGCGAAGACCATGACGGCCAGGTAGGCCTCGATGCCGGCCAGGTAAAGGGCGGCCGCCACCAGCACCAGCACCGAGTAGATGAAGCTGCGGAGGGCAGCGAGGTGGTCAGGCCTGGCAGCGGGGCCGCCGGGCTGGGAGGCCCACCACAGCCCCCACCCCCACCGGTGCCTTCCAGACAGCGCAGAGTTTGGCCCCCCGCCCCATCCACGTCCGTGCAGGCGGGGAGGGGGCAGGTGCCGAAGCCAGCCCCCCCAGCAGGACCGGACCTTCCCCCCCTTGCAACGGGCGGGCCCAGTCCCAGCGGAAGGCCAGCTGGGCCAGCATCCCACACCCCACCGTCCTGCCCGGGGGCCCACTCCGCCCAGACGCAAGGCCAGGAGGGAAGGGCCAGCCCCGCTCGGCCCCCCGGCAGCAAGGCGGCAGCAGGAGGGCCCGCCCAGGCCCCGGCACCCATTGGCCACCTCTGCCGGGTTTGGAACAGGCACCGCAAAGGCCGCGCGCCTCCCAAGCCCTGGCAGCGGAGAAGCCGCACCGTCGCTGCCCCGCCTCACTCACTAGAGCAGCTGGAAGGAGCCGTCTATGAAGAAGGAGTTCACCCCGGGGCACTTCTTCAGGAAGAGGTCCTTGATCTGGGGGGAGGGCGCTGGTGTCAGGGGGGCCGAGCTGGAGGCCACGTGCACCGGGGAGGCGGCAATGGGCCTGGTCCTTCTTGGGGCCTGCTCGCCCCGCTCGCCTGGGGGTCCCAACCAGCCCTCCCCAACCTGGCACTCTCCCGAGGCATCTGACTACAACTCCCACCATCCCCAACTGGCGATGGGGTTGCAGCGAGGTGCATCTGGGGGCGCTGCACAGGAGAAGGCTGGTGTAGGATCGAGCAGAAGCGTCTCGGGAACGAGCCGGGGGCTCCCCGGAGCCCGTGTCCTTTGCAGAGCTCCAGCGTTTATTCTTCGTTATTTCTGCTACGGAATGAAACGGCTGGTGTCGCTCGGAGCGCTTGGCATGCCCGGCTCCCCTGCCACCGGCCATTCGGGGGGCTGAGGGCCCGGCCAGCCCCGCCCCTGCGACAGGGACCCACTGATCGCGGAGGCCGGCCGGCCGGCGCTCTCCTGCATCGGCCCTCTTGCGAGCCCCTCGGTTCCCCAAGAGACGCAGCGCGCCCACACCCGGAGGAATGCCGGCCCTCTGGCTTCGAGGAAGCTTCTTCGGGAACTGAAATAGCCAAAGTATTCCTCTTTTTGCACACCATTTTTTCCCAAGACCGAAACAAACGCAGGGCACCGGGGGCGGGGGGGGACATGGCCACTGCCTTTCACTGACCCGTCAGATGAATCGACAGAAGAGAGTCCCCCAGGTAACTGGCCAGCGCTCCAAAAAGCATCGTTTCGACACTTAAAGATGCAAGGGCTTGTGAAACACCTCTCGGCAGGCACCGCCTTGGAGGGGGCTTCTGCAGGAGGAGCCCCCACCCAGCCTGGGGGGAGGGTGAGTCTCCGTTTCCTGCACACCCCTGGAGAAACGGTGCTGCTCCACCGAGGGCCCCTTCCCACGGCACCGGCTGGCTCGGCCCGCGGCCTCTGGCTGAGCAACGGCCCTGGCAGAGGGGCAGCCGGGAGACGAGACGGATGCGCCAAGAAGTGGGTGGGCGTGCGCCACGCAGGGGTGGAGGAGGGTGGGGGGGGGAGTGCAGGGAAAGCGGGGTGCCCCGGGTGGGGGGCTGGACGGAGAGCAGAAGGTGCGGCACTTACGTTGGTGAAGAAGAAGAGGACTCCGGTGGAGAGGGTGACGACCTCCCCGGCCAGGCGCAGGTAGTCGGTGGTGCTGGTGTACGGGTACGGGGGCTGCGGGCACAGTGGGGGAGGCGGCGCTGAGCGCGGATTCCAAGGGCCCGAGCTGCCCGGCACCCGGGGTTGGGCTCCCCACGTCTGCCCCAGCTGAAGCCCCCCTCAGGGGGATGCATTCAGCCTTCCTTGGACCCGGAAGCTGCCAACTGGGGTTTGCCCCGGGCCGTGGGTGTCTGCCCCTTCTCCAAGGGGCACATGCCCTGCTGAAGCGCCCCCCCCCCCCGGCCGCACGAGCACCCCCTTCAGTGAGCCCTGAGAGCGAGGGACTTCGGCGACAGCCGCAAGCGTCCTGGGCAGAGACGGCTTGAACCCGCGCTTGGCCGGGGCCAGTGCGGATGTCGGGTGGGCCACCCGGCCACTGCCGGGCCAGTGGGAGAGCCCCCCCCCCACACGCACAAGCTCGCAGCCCTGGGGGTCGGGCCGCCGCGCGCGGCACTCACGATGCCCTCCAGGGGGCGGTAGTAGGCCACCAGCGTGAAGATGACCATCGCGCAGAGGTAGGAGACCACGCTGATGTAGAAGGAGGCGGCCCCGAACTTGCGCCACTTGTCCCGCAGCAGCTCGTTGATGGGCTCCACGGCCAGCATCTCGTGGCGGTTCTGGGGGCGCAGGAGAGCGGCGGCAGCGAGGAGCCTCGCACCCGGCCCCGCCGGCACCCCGGGCGCCCGGCCCCGCGCCGCCCCGGCCGCCCTCACCTCGATCTTGCTGTTGTACACGAGGATCTCGAGGACGGAGACCTCCTCCCCGCACGTGTCCAGCGAGGAGAGGTCGTAGAGCGAGGAGTAGACGGGCCCGTAGGCCCAGTCCTTGAACTTGCGCGAGAGGTGCCGGGCGTCCTCGTCCTTGATCTCCCGCCGGATGATGTGCTGGAAGATCTGCGGGCAGGAGGGCTGCGGTCGGTCGGCCGGCCGGCTGAGGGGGCAGGGGGGGCGGCTGCCACGCACAGGTGGGGGCCGGGCCTGAGTGGGGTGCGGGTGGCCTTGCTGCCTCTAAGGCAAGGGGCCCCTCTTCCGCCGGGAGGCAGGGGAGGGTTCACGTGGCGCTGGAGCCGGATCCGCCGCCCCAGGGGAAAGGGGCGCCCCCACCCTCCCGGACAGCCCCTCCAGCCCTGAGGAGGCCGCTCAGCGCATCGGAAATTGAGCGTCCAGCAGGGGGGTCCCTGAGACATCAGGCCAAGAGACCCCCCCAGACGCCAGCCATGCTGTTCCCCCGAGCTGCCGCCGTCGAGTGAAGGATGGTTTACAAAAAAATAAACAAACATCAAGACCAACACGCTTAAAGAGAAAAATCTGTTAAAGCGCCTTCACGCATGTGGGAGAAAAAAAGTATTTGGCGGGAACTGGAAGTGGGGGGGGGGGCTGCTGTGTGGGGGGGGGCGTCCGACAGGGCCCCATCCTGGGGGAGGCCCATGACTGCTCTGACCACAGCCAGCCCAGGCTCCGGTGGAGGCACCCCAAGGGACCCTCCAAAGGCGACTGTGGCGGATGGGGCAGCGCTCCCCGATCCCGAGTCCTTGGACCCTGCGGGGCTTTGACAGTCGGCCACACCCCGAATGCCGCTTGCGAGTGGGGCAGGGGGCCATGCAGGAACTCCGCTCCCACCGGGTCTATTTGGAAAGGGACGCAAGCGGATTTTTAAAGAAAGTATTGCTCTCAATTGCAACCATCTACGTGTCGTGGTGTTGCAGCTGCGTGGCAGCCCCCCGCCTTTGTGCACCAAAGCCCCCGGCTCGGTCCCCGGCGGCAGCCCCATGGGAAGGCTGGGCACTGTGAGGCGGCCCCAGAGACCTGCCCTCTGGGGTGGCTGGGCTGGGTCATCCCTCCAGCCGGGAAGGGGGCACAGCCCACGCTTGCAAGTAGGGGGTGGGGTGGGGTGGGGGGAGTTCTCTCAGGCTGCAAGGGACGTGGCTGGGAATGGCCCACCGCCCAGATCGTTCATCCTTCCCCCCCGAGAGAGGCGCTCAGGAAAAAGAAGAGGCGGGACACTGTGCATCTGCCCCCCCCCCCACCGTGAGCTCCATGCCCCCGGCAGCTGCAAAGGAGCGCCACCTGAGGCATAACCGGCCCCTTTCCGGCACGCAAAGAGCCCCCCTCCAAGGAGCTCGCAGGAGGGCGCACGCTCCGCAGCTCTGGCCCCCCGGGAGCCCTGCGAGGCGGGCAGGCTCGGAGGACAGGCCCCGCGGCCCTGGAGCCGCTAGTGTCCGGCTCGCCTCCGGCCCCCCGGGACCAGCCGGCGGCCTCACCCCGATCTTGCCAGTCTTGGCGGCCATCATGAGGGGCGAGAGGCCGTCGTTGTTGAGCAGGGCCTCCAGGCTGGTGTCGGGGAACAGCTTGGCGCCCTTGATGAGCAGCAGGTCGAACATCTTGGTGACGAACTTGGTGTTCTCGCGGGTGTTGTCGGCGATGGCCACCAGGGCGTGGAGGGCCGTGTTGCCGCGCGAGTCCTGGCGCCGCAGGTCGGCCTGCTTGTGGGCGTTCTCCGTCAGGTAATGCACGATGTGCGGCTGGTTGGTGCAGGCGGCCAGCGAGAGCGGCAGCTCACCTGGCGGGCGGAAGGCAGGTGCGCGTCACGCGGCCGGAGGCGCTCGCATGCTGGGGCAGGGCTGGAGGACGGGCGCGGATCCGAGGGCTGGCAGCTGCCCGGGTGCAGACCGCGGCCACCTCCGGGGAGCAGGGGCCCTTCAGCGGTGGCCCGGCCGCCCTGGGGGCGGATCGTCCTCGCCGGAGGCGCCTGGGCAGGGCCGGAGGGCCGTGGACCCGCGATGCTGCCCCGGCTGCGGCGGGCGGAGCGGGTGGCCCCCAGGCCCTCCCGGCCGACCTGCCCTGCCCTGCCGCTCACCGAAGTAGAAGTAGCCGCCCTCGTCCTTGGGCTGGAAGAAGCGGCCGCGGGCCTGGGCGTGGACGTCGGCCCCCTTCTCCACCAGCAGCTCCACGTAGTGCTTGCAGCGCCGCTCGATCGCGATGTGCAGCGCGGTCTGACCTGGGGGGCGACCAGCCCGCGTCACCATTCCGTTGCCCAGCACAGCCACCAGCGGGCCGGCCCCTCACGGGTCGCGCTGCCACACGGTTAGGGAGGCGCAACACTTCCTTCCAGCTCCGAGGACGTGAGGACTTGCGGGCTGGCCTGGTGAACTTGGTGCTCTTTCATTTTAGAACAAGTTTCTAGCCCTCAAGACTGAAGACGCTGTCACAAGCATCTGAAGCAACACAGGGCCCAGCCTGTACGTAGCTCCGCTCCGCTCCGCTCCTCTCCCGCCAGTGAGTGGGAGCAGGAAACGCATGGGCGGCGAGGCAGCTTCCCTGCACGGGGTGCAAAGGAATGGGGAGCCAACGCCAAAGGATCCGAGGGTAAATTTTGGGCCACCCCGGGAGGGTTGTATGACACAAAGCCTAGGAGAGCCCAGACACAAGAGGGGGCTCCCTGCTCAGCTCCGCCCAATGCCCAGCATCCCCGCCGGCGGCCGGGGGCGCACCTACCGCGGTAGTACACATCCCGGAAGGGCGAGTTGATGAACTCCCGCATGCTGCCCGTCTTCTCGGCAATGTCCAGCAGCACCGGGATGGTGTCGTTCCGGCCGCTGCTCAGGTTCAGCAAGGCCTTCGGGAGGCACGTTTTGCCCGTGGAGGGCTCTGGGGGGGGGGGGGGGGGGGGGGGGGGGGGGGGGCGCCCCCCGCCGGCAGAAAGAGGGGGGGGGGGGGGCCCGGGGCGGG